CTCTCTGTCGTGACTCACCCCTCTGACGAGGGGGCCGGAGGAAAGGCTGGGAAAATGCACAGTCTATGTATCTGGATTTCCACTCCCCCGGCTTACAAAACGTCCCCAGGATCACAATCAGGTGGGAAGTGCTTGACTTTCTAGAATATCGGTTCGATTTAGGAAACAGCCCGGTACAAAAAGTCGTCCGTAACACAATATAGTACTTTGGTCAGCCCCCTATTTACAGGATGGGTAAGGCCATGTGGAGTGAGATCGTTAAAAAGGCTCAAGTTCTTCTGTAGACACCACCCATGGTCCGGAAGTGCCTGTCTGGTGGGCGGATGCTGCTCCCAGGAGGACAGGCAGTCTGTCCGCCAGGAAGGGCCTGCCCCGGCCCCAAGGGGGAGCTGGAGTGTCCCGCGGAGAGCGCTGTTCTCCCCGCCCCCCTCCCCGAGGGCCCACCCCGGATGCTAGTTCACACAAAGGCGGGGATGTCCAGCTTCCTGTGCTGAGGGACAGGGCTTCCTGGGAGGGAGCGCAGGGGCTGGGGGGAGAGCCCTCTCCGTGAGTGGGCGCTGGCTTCCCCGTGGGCCTGAGTCGCCTTTAAGAAAGCATTCCGTTCCGCAGGCCATCCGCCCGCCCCCCTGCGGGCATTTCGCTTTGCGGTTATGCCCCGGAGCCTGGGGCAACGGGTGCCCTGGTGGGAGACAGGAAAGTGTGAATGGCCGAGGCAGCTCTCGGCGCCAGCGGGGCAGCTCCTTGGAGAAATCACGCCAAGGGTTTTCCTAAATCCCTGGCGCAGCCTCTTAGGGTTTACGAGTAGGATCTCAGGCCTGGGCCTCGTCTAGTCTCTCCCTCGCAATACCTGGCCTCACTTCCCGGGATGCACAGGAGAAAATACATTTGTCCAAGAGCACGGGATGTGTCTCCCCGGGAAACACCCCCATCTGATTGTCGTTGCCCCATCCCCAGCACCCCAGACTCCGCCAGGTCTCCGGCCCCAGCGTTTCCCTGGTGGCACCAAGCCCCTCCCCGCAGCACTGACGCCCTCTGCCTCCTCAGACAGGAGACCAGGAGGAAGGGGCTCCCCTGGGGGAACAGAGAGACTCGTCAAGAGGTCCTGGGCCAAGGGGCAGAGGCGCAAAGGGTCAAAGGGCGTGTGTGGAGGACGGGGAGGGAGGGAGGAGAGAGGTGGCTGAGACGGTGCACCCATAGCGAGTGGCTTTCTGTGCAAGACTCTCACTAAGGAGAGCCACGGCCAGGGGAGGAGGGAGAGGAGGGCGGGGCTTGGTTGCATACAGACGATTAAGGCATATTCAGTTAGTGTGAAAGGAGACAGGGTTTCCAAAGATGACCCAGGCTCTCTCGAGAAACTAAAATACAAACCCGTGCTTTGCGCCAAGCAGCTCAACCAGCTTAGGAAGAGGAAACGCACGTACCCCACTGGCCCGGCCGTCTGTCTGCACTGGATTGGACGTCCATCCTCCAACCTTCATGCACTGACCTCAAGGGGATCCTGAGGCAGAGGGGGGGGGGCGGCACTGGTGGGTCCCTCCTGACCCCCTGTGGCTGCTTTGTGTGGAGAGAGGAGGCCGCAGGAGAGAAAAAGCTGGGAGAATGCTCAGGGTCTGCGGTCCTTTGAAAGGGGTGGAGTCTGTGTGTCTCAATCACCAGTTTGGACTTTTAGTTCCAGCGGGAGGGATGGGGGTTGGGGGGAAGGGGGAGGATAGGGTAGGCAAGAGATCTCCTTTGTGAGCGTTTTTCTTTCCTGTCAGGTAAACCTGGGCTAAAACAGGACTGATTCAGAACTGAGACTGGCGTGTGGTGAGTGCGCTACCCTCGCTGGACAGAACGGGCCACTCCTACTGCCCCAGATGGTGCAGGGCCCTTCCCCGCCTTCAGAAGGACAGAGAGTGCAGCGGCTGAGACAGGAGTGAGCAGTGCCCCAGGGGCGCCTCCTGACCAGGAGAGCCGCCACATTCACGCTATTGTAAAGCAGGAGCAACAAGTCACCCAGGAGTTCCTGGAGGAAATAAAAACCCCAAACGGCCAGAGAGCGCGGACCAACCACTCTCTCGGGGAACGAAGGGGACACAGCTATGATGGAGCAAGGCCAGACCTCCACACACAGATGCACGAGGCTCCAGACCCACAGGAGGGGGGAATGGGGGGCGGCAGGGTCCAGCCAGTGCCCTCGGGAAGCAGCCAAGCTCAGCCGCAGGACTCAGGGAAGGCGGCTCCGGTCACTGTCCGCGGGGTGGAGGCGAGCCGCTCCCCGGGCACAGGCTGTCTTCACCCAGAGACACGGGACTGCTGTCCGCCCTCCCCGCTCCCGGGAGGGAGGGAGGTGAACAGAGACGATGCAAAGAGCGACGGGCAGACACAGGGCCTCCTGGAGAGGAGGCTGGGAAGAGGGAAGGGTATAACGGGATTTATGAGGAGCTCTGCCAGTTTGGGGAGTTGCGGGAGGTGGAGGAACGGAGCCCCAGGGCCCCTGGGCACCACCGGCCGCCCTGGGAGCTGCCCAGACATCCCTCTCGCCAAGGGCGTCTCCCGGGGAAGGTTGGCACACAGTTTATGGCGACTCCAGGCATGGCAGGTGGCCAGCAGGCGCCTCGGGGACGTCTGCTGGGGCCTTGGGCTTCGCAGGGGGAGGGGGCCGGTGCGGAGGAGGATTGCCAAAGAGGACAGAGGAGAGACAGCGAGGGAGAGAGGCAGGTAAACTCCGCTCCGGCCGCAGCACCCGGCCTGGGGGCTCCCTGCCGAGAGGGCTTTCAGCACGACCCCCTCCCTTCACCGGTGGATGCAGGGAGAGGCGGGGAAGAGGAAGAGGTGAGGAGAAACACAGGAGCCCCTCGTCCCTGCCTCTGCTCAGCGAGGCCACCGTGGGCCGGCTCCTCCCTGCAGCGCAGGCAGTGATGGGCACCAATACCGGGGAAGTGCCAGGCGGTGGGAAAGGCACTGCCAGGGGCTGCAGCTTATGAACCCAGAGCCCAAGGGACAAAGGTCCCTCCGCCGAAACCAGAGCTCAGAGGGGAAAGACATCAGGGAGCTGTACACAGGGGTGACAATCAGAATCTCTACAAAAAGCTCGGATAGGGACAAGATAACCTGAGATGATCAGACGCTCCCGGCACAGCAGCCACGCCTCTTTCCTCCCGTGCCTTAACGTGAAAACTGTATCGTATACCCGTCCGCGTTCCAGGGAAGCTGGCTGCGTTATTGCTCTATCGCCTTCGGAAGCAAACACACGTGACACGCGGGAAAGGAGGTCAGCTGTGCGCACGGCCCCGTGGGAGGATGGACACGGGAAGGGGACGCTTCACACCGGGACTTCTGAGCCTCCGAGGGGGAGGGGGGACCGGCCGAAATGCAATGTGGACACCTGGCCACGCCAGCAGGAAACCAGGCAACTCGGAGAGTCCTCGGGGGGAGGCCTGCCCTGGGAGGGCAGGAGAGCTTCCCAGTCCAGGAGCTTTCCAGAACCGACCCGTGCTCCCGGAGCTGCCGCCTACGTGGGCAGAAATGCACTTTTTTTACATTAAAAACCGCAGCAGAACTGCCAACGGGGACACTTCCGAGCGGCCTGGCTTCTTCCCCAGCCTGAGTGCCGTCTGGCAGGCGTGCAGGTGCGTGAAGAGGGAGCCCCTCCGCCTGGTCCGGTCCGGTCCGGTCCGGTCCATCCTGAGCGCCTGCGGGGGGTGGACCCGGACAGACAGCGTCTGCACTGACCGGCAGGCGGGGCCCGGGCAGGTGGCCGCTGTGCGGGAGGGAGCGGCGGCAGCGTGGCCTCGAAGTGGGGGGCTGACCGTTAAGGCTTCTGTTCTTCAGACGTGGCGGTGTCCCCGCCTGGAGAGGGAGGGAGAGCCCCGTCAGGAGGGGGGGCAGGGGCCACTGACTCTCTAGCTTCAGGCCTCAGGACCGCAGGCTGGGAAGGGCGACGCGGGGTTTGTGGCTGTTTGAGGGCTGGGATGAGGAAGGCGGCAGACGGCTGGATGCGGTGGAATGGAGGTGACACTGAACCAAGGTGGGGTTCCAGCCTCAGCGTCCTCCTGTGGGTGACTGGAGCCCGAGACGTCACGTGCACAGCTCGGAACACACACTAACAGGCTCCATCCCTCATCCAAACCCCGGAGCATGGCTTCATGCAGAATTTAGAATTCTTTTGGGGGGTTTAGGATAAACAAATACATACCCATACATGTAATATATTGCATATATTACACAATATATAACTATTATGTAATATATGCAACAGCTCATAAGCAAGCACACAGTGTCACAGAAAGAGGGGAGACGGCCTAAGCAGCATTCAGGGCAGGCTTGGCCTCTGAGAGGTAGGTGCTGCCTTGTCAGAGGGCTCTGGCTTCCACTGTGGACACGGGGAGGAGGCGGGATTGGGGGGCTGGGGGGGCAGGGAGGCAGGCAGAGGTCTGTGCTGTGCCCCTCAGAGCCAGTTTTCCTGGGCGCGGACCATGTGCTCCCATCCTGAGGGTGCACAGCAGGCACTGGAGGTGCCTTGGCAGGGAGCTCCTGAGCCACTCGGCCACACGGGTGCTGTCAGCCCATTTCACAGACGGGGTAACTAAAGTCCAAGGTGTTCAGCTGTCCGGGACCTACACCAGGCTATATCGAATCATTTGTTTTTTTAATCTCCCCCCCCCGCCCCAAATTAATGTTTAATTATACAGGGAGTATATAAATGTAGATTGGGAACCCTTCAGATTAAGCTGATCTTCCATGTCCTGCTCTCTCCTGTTATAAAAGGGGACGGAGACGCAGGAGTAACCAGGTTGCCCCGGCCACTGCAGGGGGTCCAGCTGTGACTCATCACTAAGAGGAAGCAGGCACCGCCACACCCTTTACAGGAACTAGAACACCTGCACCCACGGTTTCCCTTCTCCCTCCCGGGGTCCAACATCCCAAATCTCCGCACCTGCGCCTCCCCGCCCCCGCTCCCCAGCCCTTGGGTTGCGGGCTCCGCCCAGGTCTCCCTCACCAGAGCCCTGCCTACCTGGTCAAGCTTGATTCTCATAAAGGCTTTGCCTCTTCTTAGACTTCAGATCCTTTAGCCACTGGGGTGAGGTCTCTCCTGATCTGAAACCACAGAGCCAGGGAGTCGAGTGTGCGTGAGAATGAGGGCGCCTTGCAGGCAGCGCTGTGAGGTACCCACTCTCCATCCCCAGGGGGGCAGGGCACTCCCTCCTCCCCAAGACCCCTCACCTCTCATCCTTCTCAACGCTGGTGGGCAGCACACGGCTGCCCAGCTGGAAGGGGGACTTGGGGGTCTTGGGCTGGGGGGCCCAGCCGGGGGTCTCGCTGGGACTGTCCGCCTCCGGCCTCTTGTGCAGCTGCGCCTGGGAGAGGAGAGAGACGCGTCTGGGACTGGGACCACCTGTCGCCTGGAGAGGGTCCCACCCCACCGCACCGCCGGGGCTTCCACAGGCAGGAGCCCCGGGCAGGGGAGATGCTGGCTGACCTGGGGGTGAGAGGAAAGAAAATCGGTGGCCAGGCCTGCAGCTCTGAGGTGGGGCCACTAACTCATCCTACAGGTGCACCTCAGCTCTGTCCAGCTCCATGCTCCCGCCTCCATTTGAATAAGATGAAGCTTTAAACTGTCGGATTCCCACAGGAACAAGGCCGGGTGGATTCTCACCCATAGTTGGAGGACAGCAGAAGGGAGGGAGGGAGGGCAAGAATTATGGGGCCTGCTCTTCCTGTTCTTTTTGCTACCAGAGCCGAGAGCGGCTCTGGGTGCGAGGTTCTGTACCTTGAGCATGGCCGGGTCGATGCCCGGAAACACGGGCATCCTCTGGGGATGGCTGCCGGGCAACCTCTCGGACCGCTTCTCCTCCTCATCGGACTCTTCTCTCCTGGGGGATTTCTCTTCTGTTGCAAAGAAAAGGGCGCCGGTGTCACGGGCAGCCCCCGGGCACGGAGGCCCGGGTTCCAGGTGCTCTGCACACAGACCCTCGGGCAATCTCACACCAGCCCTGACCATCGGGGCATGCCAGGGCCATCGGACAGATGAGGACACGCTCATGGCTTGCGCGCATGGCATGACCTTCCTCCTCCACAGCTCTGGCCGAGAGATGTGCTCAGTGGGGCAGGATGGGGTTCCTCCTGGGCCCGGGCACAGACACCCTGGTCCTGGCTCTTTCCCAGGCAGGGAAGCGGGAGCCCTTTGGTAGAGATGGGGAAGTGCTTCCAGCCCCCATGCCCTGGGGTCATGCTCTCAGAAGAGAGCGGGAGGGAGCCGGTGTCTGTGGAAGGGCTGCTCGGAGTTGGAGTTGGATGGGGAGGCCACTTTCCTTCACCCCCCCTCTCTGGGGCTTAACTCCATCATCGTACTCCAACCTCGCAGCGAGACTTCTGGGAGAAAGACTGCTGTCCCCACTCTTCCAGGAACGAGGGGCAGAGTTTCAACCTCCTGGAGACTTGGACCCAGGACTGGGCACAGCAGGGAGTGGGGCAGGAGGTCCTTCGGGGGCCCCGGCCAATCAGGAAACTGGGGCGTGCCCAGAAAGGGTATCCCCAGGCCGTCCCCAGTGCCCGGCTAGTTCCTCAAGGCTGCTGGGAGCCAGAAGCTGTTGTATGTCCCCCAGCGGGGTGGGAGGTGGGGGTAATTACATGCTTTGAGGGGTGATTGTGGGCTTTGTCTTCACTTTCATTTTTACTTGGTCGAACAGCTCTGTGAAATTCGGCTCAGAAAACCAAGAAAGTGTGCAGAGGCATTTAAGCATTTCCTTGAATGACAGGCACGAGATGGGAGAGGGAGAGATGGCCCGCCCTTCCAAGCGTTTAAGGTATCTGGTCAGAAGCTGCGCTCTCACTTAGCTCCAAGCGGGTCTGACATCCTCCTGTTTGACAAGTGGACACAAGTCCCTACAGCAGCCTGTGGAGGACTAAGGCTGTCTATGTGCGCAATGGGGAGGTCCCCTGCTATGGTTTCCGTTACAAGAAAAGGTTTTGCTTAAAACTCTTGACAGAAATGGCCTAGCTCCTTGGCAAAGAATCATGACTTCCCACCACTTGGCCCCACCTACTCTTCCAGCGTAATTCCTGCTACTACCGGCTTGAACCACTTAGAGAGGCCCCTGCAACACTCAGACAATGTTCTTTCTACTCCTCTGCCTCCTTGGTCCCGTTAATATTTCTGTTTGGAATTCCTTTCCCTGGCTAATCCCTACCTGCCCTTTAAAATTCAGCTCAGGATGTGATACAAAAGGCAGCCAAAAAACATCCTCAGAGGAAAATGCATAGCCTTAAAATAATTCACTGGAAAATAAGACTGATAAATAAACCGATCTTTTAACTGAAGAATGTAGAAAAGAAAACCAGCAAAACAAGCCTGATGAGAATATAAGGATGAATTTAAGAAGGATAAAAGCAGACATCATGAAACCCTGCTAAGTTTGTGGCTCTGTCCCCTGCAACCTGCAGAGCCCCCAATTAATATATCATTCCTCAAAGAGAATTTTTTTTTACTTAGTTTCTAATAAGCTGTGCAGGATAAGAAATCAAGTGTCCTGTGTAATTATGTCCTAATACCCTACTGCCTTCAACTCGCAGGAAGTTCCTTCTCGGGTTTCACCCCCGATCCTTCCTGCTGTTCGGTGTGGTAGATGTGGAGGCGGGGTGTGTGTGTGTGTGTGTGTGTGTGTGTGTGTACCTGTCGAGTCCTTGAACATCCACATGGTGTCATCCTCCTCCTCCAGCGGAGACCTGCTCTCCGACTCGCTGACTCGGCTGCGCCGGAGGGAGTGGGAGATGGGGGCCCGGCGGCGGCTCTTCTTGCTGAGCTGCACCCGGGTCTTGAGGGCACTGGAGTCGAGGACTGAGGTTTGCTTTGGGCGCAGCAGGGAGGGAGGGAGGGAGGAAAAACAAGGGAGCCGTTCACCGAGGGCTCCACCCGAGAGAAGCAAGCGTGTGAAGCTTCGCTGATGCACAAGACCCTGTTTAGGTGGCACGTGGTGGGGCCAGCATTTCTGCATTTTAATACTGACCTGTCACCCGAAGCCGAAATTTCTCCATGAAACAAACCACGGAGGTTGATCACAAGCATCAAATGAAGCTTGAGTGCCCTGGCGCTGGGCTGGGCACATAGCAGGCACACAATGGAAATGCCTTTCCCCCCCTCCTGATGACATTATACGAGCATATAAGCTAGAGCAGTGCTCAATACGTAGCAGGAGCTCCATACGTGTTTGTTGAGTGAATAACTGAAGACATCACCTAATTAAATCCCTATACTCCATTACCATGTTTATGTTTATGTAGTGGGGTGCCCCAGGGGAGACTGAACTTGTGTCTTTCCCCATCTCTGGTCTTACCCAGAGGTGCCAGCTGACTACACTGAGGAAGGGGAATCCCCTTTGAGGCCCTAGAGGGAGTCCCCCTCCCTCAGTGGGGTTCCTTCTCAGGAGGAATCTGGGCAGCCGACCCTAAGAGTGCGGGCATGAGGTGTCACTGCCAGGAAAGCGGGTCCCTTTCCGATTCTGCGTCACTGTGATGTTGCATCTTCGGGGCGGGGGGGGGTGGGGGGCAGCTCTGCTGTCAGGGAAGCAGAATGATGAGATCTTCATGCCTCAAGGGTTGACAAGGAAAGTCTGCCTGCTCGGCTGCAGGGGTGGGGGTTCTCGTTTGGGGGAGGAGGAGGACGGGCGGCAGTCTGGAAGGGGGCTGGGGCGAGAGCGGTTGGACCTGGCAGCTGGCATTGCCTCTGCTTGGCACCTGGAAAGCTGAGTTGTAAGGGCTGGCTCTGGGGCTGGCTCTGGGGACCCACACCTGAGGTGGTCTCCCCTTCTCAGAACCATGCTCTCCGTTTAAAGAGAGACCTGTATGCCCCGGCTTAGGGACACATCCCACTGAGAGCAGCGGGCAGGGTGAGGTCAGACTTCCTGCTCACCTGACGGGCGTGGGCTGGGATCAGCTTCCACGTGAGCACGTGTGACTGTGCTGGAGGCTGTGGAGCCCCTTCTGCTGGTTACAGTGCATAAGGAAGCCGAGGCTCAGGGATGGGAAAGCGTTTGGCCCAAGACACACAGCTGGTGTACGGCAGGTCCGCGCCACGGGCAGACGTCAGTCCCATCTCGGACTGTGCCCTCTGCACCGCCAGACCGGGGCCTGGCACACACATTCTACCCTGCAAAGGGGCAACTCGCCAGGAGATGCTAGTATGGCCCTTTAAGAAGAAATAAGTGCTTCCAACACACGCTCCCGAGAGCCGGCTTACATTGATGAAGGAGAAGTCATCTACTTTCTTTGTGGAGCAGGCGTCTGGCGGGGGCGGCCCCTCCGTCCCCTCCGTGGACTCCAGGTCGGTGCTGGAGCGGTCCACGCTGGCGCTCCGCTGGTCCCTGGGGCAGTCGTGCTGGTCCCCGGCCGAGGTGGCCTCCGTCGGGGAGGACAGGGAGGACAAGCGGCTGCTGGAGGGCTGCTTCCAGGCCGACGCGGCACTGCTGTCTGGGGACGGAGACTCAGGGCCCACGCTGGGAGGGAGGGAAGGAGGAAGGGGTGGAGGGAGGGAGGGAGGAAGGAAGGAAGGAGACATGGTCATGCAGGCTGTTTCTGAGGGCTGAGTAACAGGGTAAAGAAGGCGCAGAAAGCCGAAACCGGTTTGGCTCAGTGGATAGAGCATCGGCCTGCGGACCCAAGGGTCCCAGGTTCAATTCCGGTCAAGGGCATGTACCTTGGTTGCAGGCACATCCCCAGTAGGGGGTGTGCAAGAGGCAGCTGGTGGATGATTCTCTCATTGATGTTTCTAACTCTATCCCTCTCTCTTCTCTGAAAAAAAAAAAAATCAATAAAATATATTTTTTAAAAAAGAAGGCACAGAAAGCAGGGTGTGGGGTGTGCTCTATACCCTAGGAAGCAGGAGACAGACAGACATCTCGGGCACACAGCCAGATGCTGATCGTGCCTCCAGAACACCTGGCCAGCTGTGGAACGGGAGGGCTAACCTCCCGAATGAAGTGTTAGCCTCACGGAACATGAGGAACCAGAGACACGAGGCAACTGGCCCAAAGGGGGCAGATCTGACTCTAAAATCCACATCCCTGACCCCCTTCTACTTCCGGAATTTCTTCCCAGGACCATATACTCAGGCATCACTTGGATAACGGGCATCGCATACAATAGGAGATTTATAAATAAATCAAGTCCTTACATTACAAAGGCTCTCCCTGCCCACAAAGAGACACCAAAGTCCAGAGCACAGGACGCCCTGCCTGGGGAAGGGTGTGTGGACACGTCCGACACCACCTCCCTAACAGGAGGGTCTCTCCTGAAAGACACCCCCTCACCACCCACGTCCCCACAGCTGCACCCTTAGCAGACCCTTCGGGCCAGGGGTACTGGGAGCACAGAGATGCTTTCTGTCAGCTCTGGGGTGGTTTTATTACTTGAAATAGGCAGGATTTAGGGGTATGGGTGGGGTTGAGCCAAATCCACAAAAATAAGGAGAAATACCATGGAGGTGGCAGCAGATGGCACTGTTAGCTAGGGCTGGGAGCACAGTGGCTCCTGGGACTGTCCAGGAGGGGGCACTGCAGTGCCTCTAGAAGACCGGATGAGGCACCCGCCTCCCTGGGAGATCCCAGGTCCCAGTAAGAGGGGCGCTGGAGACCCAGAGAGAGAATAACAATGGGCCAGGCCATCCCACAGCCGGTGGGGGTGGAGCTGGGATTCAGACCTGCCTGCCTCCTGAATCCGGGCTACCCTGGATAACCTTCGGGCTTCTGCCAGGCTGCCACCTGAGGACCTACAGGCCACTGACAGTGGCCATATTAAACGCAGGCAGCGTATAGAGCAATATGTATATGTCCTTATATTTGTAAACACACCGATATATTGAGAAATTATAGAAAGACAAAAACATTACTGAAGGTTATTAAGCTGTGTGCTGAAGGTTACTGGTATTTTCATGTTCTTTATGATGTTTTTTTAATTTGTGGCAAATATGCATAACATAGAATTTAGCGCTAGTGAGATACAGTACCTTTACAGCGTTGTGTGACCATCACTACCATTCGTTCTAGAACATCTTATCACCCCGTCAGGAAACTGGTACCTGCTTAGCAGTCATGCCCAATCTCTCTTCCTGACCACCCCTATCCCGCCGCCTCCCACAACCACGCATCTGCTTTCCGTCTCGATGGATTTGCCTATTCTGGATAGTTCACATATCATTTATTATTATTATTTTTTAATACTTTCTAAGTTTCTTTTTTTACAACAAGAATGGTTTACTCTGACAATTACAGACAAAACACGCTGCGGTAACTCACCCAGATCCCTGCCCAGCCGCCCTGCCCTGTGGCTGGGTGCCTCGCGTGCCCACCTACCTCTCCCCGCTCGGGGGCTGGTCCCTCCACGTCCCATACTGGCTGTCGGCTTCCTGCACGAGGGTGTCGGTGTCCTTGGCCTCGGGGGGCCGCCGGGAGAAGCACTGTTTCAGCTGATCCTGCGAGGGAAGGCCAGACCGGGGGTTACTGCCGGGAAAACGCTCAGGACCTGGTCCCAGCGGGCGCGAATCCTAACGTATCACCGGGCTTAACCCTCCACTGCTCTCAGGGTGGGTCCAGACGTCTTAGTGGGCGCTACGTGACCAACCGTCCAAGTTTGCCTGAGACATCATAGGCTCCAGGGCTGTCGGTGCTAAAACTGGGCAAACTGGGCCGAAGGGGCCACCCTCCTCAGCAACCTTCCCCCAACTCCAGAAAGACCACCTCTATGTTCTACTTAAGGTCAAGAGGCATAATCTGCATATGCATAGCGTTCATCTCTTGCTCAAGAACCTCCCATGGCTCCCTACTGTCCTGCTACTGAAATCCAACATCCCTTGTAAAATTGAGTCCCAAATTTCCCGTCCAGTCCCAACTCCCACCCCTACCCCAAACAAGCCCTCCACCCACTCTCCTGACCTACTCGCCATGTCCCACCCAAACCCCACCCTGAGGGCAGTGCCTTTGCTTGTGCTGTTCCCTCTTCCTATCCATCCTTCCTACCCAGAGTCATGGCAACCCACAGGGCTCTCTCCTCCTCCTCCTGAACTCTTCCTGCCTAACCCGGACTCACCTCTGCGCAGGCAAGTTTGACACGGAAGTTATTAACAGATATTTACTGAGCACCTACTATGTGCTAGGCACTCTGGATGGGGGTAGGATCACAACACAGATGCTGAGACTCTGTAACTGCTCAGGCACTCTATCATCCTTGTTCTCCGCCCCCCTCTCTGATGATGCACAGGAACGGTATAGGGCTTCAGTAAGGTCACCCCAAGGGCACAGACTCAACGCCAGCTCCTGGCACAGCACCCGGCCCAGTCAGTGCCCGCCTCCTAACCATTCTCTTGCTGTCAACTTTTGGGGACACTGCGTACGCCATGATGGTTGAGGAATGCTATGGACAAGATGCTCCCCAGGCTGGGAGTTAGAACGACCGCCATCTTTACTTGCTCCTCTGCGTCAGAGCCCAGCAGCCCTCTCTGGGAAGGGCCAGGCAGCAAATATCTGGGGCTTTATGGGCCACCCCGTCTCAGCCCCAGCTACTCCACTCCGCCACTGCTACCAAGAAAGCAGTGCAAGCAGTATGGGAGTGCGCGTGGCTGTGTTCCAATAAAGCTTTATTGACAAAGAGGCGGCTGGCTGGCTGGCTGGGGCCCCTGATCTACAGCCTTCAGTGTGTCCCAGCACTCAGAACTGAGCCTGGAGTAATTGTTGAATAAATGTCTGTTGGAAAAACAAGTTCCTGAAAATAATTTTTCCCCCAATGAGTAGGAGTGAGCTTCTTATCCAGAAAAGGGAAGGGAGCTAGCGACGGGGCAGGGAAAGGAGAGGATATTATGCCAGTGTGTATTTTGGGGTGTCTGACACATCTGCCTAAGAAAGAACCCTGAGTCAGGGCGGCGCTTGGTGGCCCACAGATGACAGAGCGATTCTGAGAAATTTAAGACGTGTGTCCCATCCCCTCTGCAACTCTACACCCCAGCTGCGCAGGGAGCTCTGGGGTCATGGGGCCCAGGCTGCCATGGGGACCTTGCTCTGTCCCAGTGCCTTCCTGTCCTGGGTCCGGGTCAGACCCACACAAGGACTGGGGGCAATGGTAATGACAGTGTCAAAGGCTAACACAGGGCGCTGATTGTGTGCAATCCACTTTGCCTTTCACTGTTCTCAACAGGAACTGTCATGGACCCATCTCACAGGAGAGGAGACTGAGGCCCTGAAGGCCAATGGGCATGCCCAAGGTCACAGTTAGAGAGTGGGGGAGCTGGGATTTGAACCCAGTTTGCCTGAGCCCCCAAAGCCGCTGCATTCTCCTAGCTCGGGCTTGAAGGGAGAGGATCGGGTGCCCGGCCAGGCCTAAGATCCATGGACAAGTGTTCGCCCAAAGTGACAGGACACACGTCTGCAGCTGGTCCTCGGGAGGCGTGTTTGGTTTCGGTCGGGAGTGCCCGACGAGGCTCCGGGGCCAGGGCTGCCTGGCTGCCCCGAAGGTCTCAGAGGCTATAAACGGACATGACAGGTGGGCTGGGGGCCCAGGCTCTCGGCAGCCTTGACACAGAGGCCCCCGGGCTCCAGGAGCCCATAGGGAGTCAGAGGTGAGAGAGGAGGTGGCAAGAAGAGCAATAACCCTGAACGTTTAAGGAGCACTGACTGTGCCTGGCACCGCATCAAATTCCTTACATGGACCATCTAGTTTAATTCCATAGTAGTTACAATTAATGTCCCCATTTCACAGATGAGGTAGCTGAGGCTCTGAGAAATTGAGTAGTAACAACAGACACTTACATGGCGTTTACTGTGTGCCAAGTTGCCGTCTTTAGTATTCCCAACAACCTTAAGTAACTGCTGTGATTACCCCCACTTTCCAGATAAGAAGGCTGAGGCACAGAGAGGTGAGGAGACTTGCCAAGGGCCTCACGAGTGAGTGAAAGAGCCTGATTCAAACCCAGGCGTTGGGCTCTGAGTCTATGGCCTGTTACCTACCTCCTCCCACTCTAACAACTCCTGTTAGCAATTTCACCAGGAAACGCCCTCCGGGAGACTTCTGGGTACAGCCTGCCAGCTGCTGGCCAATGCTGGCCCCAGGTCTGCTCGGGATGTGCCCCTAAAACACAGCTCAGGCACCACCTCCTCCAGGAAGCCTCTCCTGACTACCTCCAACCACGGCTGAACAAGGTCTCTTAGAAAAGATTAAGAAGTACCATTCTACATAAACATATGATTCTTTTGTTTCCCAGCTTCTCCTTTTCACGGAATCGGCTCCGACCCCGCCAGACTTGGATCCTCCTGGATTCTTAAAACAGTCTCCGCCAAATTTGGATTCTTTCTTTTTTTTTTTTTTTTTAAACCATCACACGTCAAAACATCTCTCATGTTTATTTCAGGCCAGGGCTCAGCTTGTCGGGAGACAGAACTGCAGCCTCGGACATGTAAGTGTGACCCTGGTGGAAGGCAGGGAGTGGTGTGTCCCTCTCTGCCTGAGGACTCCACTCCTGCCGCGTCTCCCGCCCCGTGACCAGTGGCAGAAGCACATCCCAGTGTCATAACTCTGCTCCCCAAACCCCCGCTGGAGACTCATCCGGCAGAGAAACGCATTCAAACGCATATGCTCACACAAATACACACAAGTACAGATATATATATATACGAATACACATACTCAAATACAAACACACATATACACAACATACACAAATGTATGCACATGTAAACATATACACAAATACATATACACAAATGCATACACAACACACACAAATATACACACATGCAAATATACACTGAGTGGCCAGATTATTTATATTAGAGGCCTGGTGCATGAATTCGTGCATGGGTGGGGCCCGGCCAGCCTGGCCAGGGGGAGGGGACATGGGCAGTTGGCCGGCCTGCCTGCTGATCAAATTACTGGTGGAAGGGACAATTTGCATATTAACCTCTTATTTTTTTTATTTTTTAAATATTTTATTGATTTTTTACAGAGAGGAAGAGAGAGGGATGGAGGGTTAGAAACATCGATGAGAGAGAAACATCGATCAGCTGCCTCCTGCACACCCCCCACTGGGGATGTGCCCGCAACCAAGGTACATGCCCTTGCCCGGAATCGAACCTGGGACCCCCTCAGTCCACAGGCCGATGCTCTATCCACTGAGCCAAACCGGTTTTGGCATATTAACCTTTTATTATTTAGGAAATACACTGAGTGGCCAGATTATTATGCATTCAGAGATCACAATAATCTGGCCACCCGGTGTATACACAAACATATACACAAATATAATTACACATATACATAATACACACACACAAATACACATAGACGTATACATACATACAAACAAACAGCACCGCTTTGGGTGTCTAAGGTATAAACGAACCCTGGTTTATCCCTTGTAGGGAACAGGGCGCTGCCAGTAAAAACCACGAGGCAGAAGGTTAGGCGCTGACATGGAAAGATGTCAAGGCCACCGTAGACAGTTCACGAAAATTCTGCCTTAAACTCCCCTGAGCCCCGAGATGAACAGTTTCCAATCCCAGGCACCCAGGGTGCTCCTGGGTATCCCAGGGTGAAGAGGGGCAGGTGACAGGTGGCTTCCTGGAGGGCATGTGACATGGCCAGGCCTTGATTAAGTGGGTCAGATAGGGACAGGTGTGGGAGGCGGAGAAGGCAGTGCAGGTGAGGGGTCAGGCTGGGAGAAGGCGAGGCGGGGGAGGGACACGCTGTCTTTATCGCTATGTTGTGAACTGGACAACCCCACCCCACCCCATTCCCCCCCTACCCCCCCTTCTCCCTGTGAAGCAGCCCTGCAGGGGAGACCAGACCCGCCTCACAGACAAGGGCTGGGGTCTCCAGGCTGCCCGGGCCGGGCGAGGAGAGGAGAGCTCAGAGCACCGGGCGTGAATGGGGCCCCTCTTCCCCATCGCGGGGGGGCTGGGCAGAGGCAGGGGCTGAGCGTGGACGCCCACTACCCTCAGCGGGCACGGTGGCCCACTTGTGAAGGAACGCCAGCTCCCGCGAAGGAGCAAAACCAGTTGGGCTGACATTCCATCGCCCGGGACAGAGCCCAGGGCTCCCTTTCATTCTGGTGCCCAGCCCAGAATGTGGCTTTGTTCAGAGACCCTGCCCAGGGCCCCGGGCGCCGCCGCCTGATGTAACTCACAACCCAGCCCTCGGTAGGCAGGCCAGAGGCCCTGGAAAACGCCCGCCTGGGCGCCATCTTCTTGGCTAAGGCTTCACAGCGCCCAGGTGGGGCCTCGTCCCACAGGGTCCCCGCCTGCCCCCTGGGCCACAAGCCGGGGAGAGCGCTCGGAAAGCCGAAGCCCAGCGCCAGGCCCGGGGCGGGCCGGCCCCGCGGAGACAGCTTATCAGCTGGCTGCAGACTGGCGCGGGCAGAGCCGGAGACCTGTTCGGGCAGACGCCGGGCCTTGGCAAAGCCCACACACAAAACCACGGTGTGACGGG